TAATAGTGTATATATAAATAAATACAAAAGTGTGTGTGTGTGTGCAGCACTTCCGAAGGGTAGAAAACATCTCCACAATAAATTATAATTCAAATTATGATACACTGTACAGTAATCCTGTGTATCTGCTCCATTATGTACAATGTAATATATTTTTCAGCCAGAAGAAGTTTTCCATTAGTCATTCCGGCTAATGATGTAGAAAACTTGCCCTCCTTTTCCCGTATAAAAATTATCTCGGAGGAAGAGAGTTCGTATCGATTTCATAAAGTCCTGAGAAAATTTAAGATGTAATTACTTCAAACATTTGCAGTGTCTTGAAATTTGAATCCAGTTAATACAAATTTCACAGTATTTAAATATGGCTTGTTTAGGGCTACGACCCACGTAAAAGAAGCCAGTAAATTTAGTTCAACAGAAAAGTTTGTAAAACGTAGATTATGAGATAACATTCAATATTTGTAGCTTCATATTAATCAGTACTGTAACACGGTGTTAAAAATGTACTATTTTTGCGCCAGTATTTGCACAATTATGTTCACGAGTACGTGCGCAATAATTATCCTGTATTTAAAATGAATTACTTCACGCTCGGGATGTTAAGGTATGTGTACACTAAGACGTAAAAATATAATATTCGGAGCTCGAACTGAGTAGAAAATCAGAATGCTGTGTAGATAGATGAGAAAAACCAATTGAAACAATGTTACCTTGGTCGCTGGTTATGATTTTTCTCTTCGTCTTCACATTGTGATGCCCTGGGAGCTTCTGAAAACACTAAAATCCCGAGCGATTAATGGTTTGTAAAATTATTACTCTAAATTATCGTATTAATTAGTTGATTAATTTTTAACGTGCTAATCTGCAACAACGAAAAACAGACTTGCATACAATAGGCGTCATATTTGTTAATTAATGTGCCTCCCATGAATACTTAGTTTAATATCATTAACATTGAAGTGACGCCGGTCTGTGATGGGCGGCTTGGCGGAATCTTGGGGTAAGATGCAGACCTATCGAAATATCTAATAAATCGTCCTTAGCGAGTTTCAAAGCAGTTGACCTGGGACCCGTACCGCTGATGGTGTACCGCAGACATAAGGCGAACATAACACTTAATTCAATTATTTCCGAAGCAGTCTAACCCGTGAAATGAAGCACCGTGAAGTCGAGGCCAGGTATAAATCAGATCGTACGACAAGAAAGCCGTTTTGATTCGCACAATTGATTCTCTCTGCCAAGGCAAGACGCCAGAGAAATTGTGGATGAAGGCGCAGTCGCTGATCTCAGCATATGAAACGGCGAGAATGCGAAATTACTTGACACGTCGAGACTGTTTGATACACAGAGTTGCTCAAAATTAGTGTCTTGTAGGTACTCACGAAATAAATTAATCAATGCTTTATTTCAATAATACCAGCCTCCCGCGCCTGTATCCTGTCACCGCTACTCACTCAGGTAAATTGCTACCTGCCGTACCGCCGACATCTACAACTTAATGAAACGGCGTGATTCAGGAGTCAGGCTTAATGATTTTACAGACGCTGCTAGTTGAAATTGCGCGTGATTTCTCTTTACGGTATTTAATTTTATGTGACATCTGCCATAGTCACATAATTATTTTTACTTCTCTGTACGGTTAAACACTACATAGCTTACATTTCCCAGGGCCTGAATTAGAGAACGAACAGCAGAATTTATATCACAACGGAGTCTTTCCTCAAGCAGAATTGATTCGTTCAGATTTCTAGAAAATATTGTAGTTGTGTGATTCTGGTACAGAAAGCTATTAGGTTTTCCGTCCTTTTGTATACCTGGTTTTATGTACCATTACGTATTTTTCAAGGACACATCGTTTGCTCTTGCTGTACCAGAATCATATATATATATATATATATATATATATATATAGTAGATTCGGGGCTTCCTCGGCTATGTTAAGCGATAATATCATAATAAACCTAGGCATAGTCCTTAGTATGAAAATTGGTATAATGTCCGCGTTATTATACCGAGTAACAACATTTCCGTATAATATACACTCTTTGAGTGACAGGTTTGCTATAGATAATACAGATTCATAGTTTCAGCAGAATTTAATCTATTAAAATATTACATCTTTCAGGCAAATTTTATTTTGTTGTTCGAATTATTTGTTTTAAAGCGGTAAATAAGGAAGTCATTGAGATTGCTAGTAATGAATAATTTTGCAGCTTACGGAATGAAATAAATCGTATTTCTTTCAGTCCCTAAATATTTGTTTCGCTGTAGCAATAAGTAAATTAAGGTTTTTGGTACAACTAAACATGCAAGAACACTTCAGTTTATACTGACTGTGCGTTTGTTACAGAACCACGGAAAATCAGCTAACTCGAATAAATGTATTGTTTCAATAAATATTATTGTTATGTTTTCAAAGTGCACTGTATGCTAATCGCCACTCTTCAATTGAGAGAATAGTAACAGAAGTAAAAATTTATTTAAAATATCTCTATTTTGTGGAACATTAGAAAAGAACAGATGCGAATTTTAGACGGTAATAGTTGTTTAAAATACATAGTGGAAACCTTTTAAGCTCTTTTTAATACGAAATCCGCGATGTACTATCGATACAGTTAAATCGTTGTTCTGTGTTGGGTAGGGGGAGGGGGGGATTGATCTTTCCCCTTCGCCACTTCACTCTCTACTATAGGCTGTTCACGGTAAAGCGAGCACTTTTGAGGCCCTGGTTACGTTTTTTTCAGTCTTTTTTATCCTTTAATCACCTTTTTATATGAATATTGCCATGTACGCAATAAACACAGTGTGTATATTCCACTGCAATAGGAAGTAAGGGTAAAATAAAATATATTTATTGATTATTATTCCAAATGAGAGGGCTTTCAAAAGTGCTCACTTTACCGTGAAACGCCTATAACTACATTTGCACTTGTATCGGTAGGTGGATTAATTTTACTAAGAAAATCCGCGCCGAACAGCTTGGCTGTCTAAACTTTAAACATTAAAAAAGCTAAAATTACACCAAATGAGCAAAACCAGTGATAAGTGTCCACTGAAGATCATTGGTAACTTACTAATTATTTTGGTGCGTTATTTTTCATTACTTGTTTCATTTCCTCTTAGCGCAAATGAAAACCATTACTCCGAAGCATTCGACTGATCCCCAGTTGGCAGCAGCTTGTCAGCTGACGTTTAGTGGTTAGTTATTCAGTTGTTGACTTCAATGATTCTGGTTTATATTGCACGGAGGTGCTTATTGGTTGGCGCAAAGTCCAATAACACAAAACCCAGAATCAAATTACATTATAAACGGATATAAATAGAGACCTGCAAAATTCGCGTTATTATTTGAGAACACATTATACTTCAAACACACGTAGGTACCTTTGCAATGAGTTTGTCATTGGACCATACTTCGTTTGACTAGCCCTGGGCCAATAAATAAACACTTCACCACTGTCCAGTCCAAATACATGCAGTATAGTCAGAAAGCGAGTGGCTTCACATTTTTGCAGCAGCCAATGGAGAAACGACGTCGGCCCGAGTGTATATAGTACTGTGAAGTTAACTTGATGCCAAATAATAACGCGAATTTCGCAGGTCTCTAGATATGAATACAACTGAACAAATTGTAGAGGGAATATGTGTTACAGTGCGCATACCAAATAAGCAGTAACCAACTCTTGACTTCCAACAATGAACTAGGTACTTTTTTGCCATTAAATCTGGCAAAATTACAAGAATAGTACATTATTTTCACAAATGTGTTCTTTAAAGTGTCTTTCACTTCTCGACGACAGAATTTCAACGCAACAGAAGATAATGATATATATAAAATAATTATGTATATTTATTTATACCCGGTGGTTAAAACTAAACCGACAACGCTAGTACTGTATGGGACGGAAAACCGACCCTGTTTCAAGCGGGGACCCATGTCCAGGGTCCGGGCCCTGTGGGCATGCTCCGTGGCCGCTACGGTCACCAGATCTCACAGCTCTCGACTATTTTCTTCGGGGCACTAAGAAGAGTATGGTGTACGAGATTCCTGTACCACGAGAGGAGAACTTTATCGCACGAATGCACGCAGCGACTGGACTACTGAGCACACGATCACACGTATTGACCATGGGCGCCAATCCCCGCATCGCGCCGATGTAGGTTCTGCAATCAAGTAGAAGTCGTCGATTCGAACCAATTTTCGTAATTTACTGTACGCTATGATGTTCTCGTTGGGTTGGTGGTGGTTTCGTAACACAATTTGGAACGTACACCCATCGCCATATCCGAAGCGTTGCCAAAATTTGACGACCCATAGTGCCCAAACCATGCTTTTCCGGATATGCGTCCCTTCTTAAAAAAATTATCAGCTTGTTATCCCTTTCATAACGTAGGCATAGGTTGTTCACGGTAAAATGAGCAATTTTGAAAGCCCTACTTAAAATGTACTTGTATAAATTTTTGTGTGTTCTTCCGCCTTACGTAAAATTAACATTTCCATGGGCCTCATCACTTTATTCAAGCTTCGGCCAACTGTGGCATTATTAGAAAAGTAAATATTGTACAAATCTGCTCAGTTTTACACTTCGGTGCATTAAAAAATACAGAAAACCACATAAATAATTTAATTTATTACAAAAGGTTACCTAACACTTTTAGTTCGACGTTAATATATGGAACTACTTTCCCCTCCATCGTTATCAACTTTACTGTACACATATCGCTCATCGCGCCCATTAAAATAAATGCAGGTAGGAGTAGTGACATTTTCCTAAGGTTGATTTCAAAAGTGCTCACTTTATCTTGAACAGCCTTTACCAAACGGTATAATTATATCTATATGCACGGGTATCGTGGAAAAATTAACTTCAACAGGCGACACGCTACGTCACAAATTGTTCGCATGATTTCTGCAACACCACTTGAAAATTGTGAGCCAGTGCTGGAGACATGCGCAGAAGACGACGACTAGTGTATTTCATCTTCAGAACACTGTACTGAGCCAGGTGGGGCATTGGTAACATGCTGAACTCGCGTTCGAGATGTCCCGAGTTCGATTTCCGGCGCAGCCATCTTATTCCCTGTCCTTCAGTTCATTTTCCTTCGAAGCCGCTGCTGGTGAATCCTAACTACAGGGCAGGGCAGATTACTTCCCCCCCCCCCTTGCCATTATTGACAGAGCCAACTGACGACTCGCTGCTGTCGACGAGGTTTGAACCCATAAATAAATGTTTAGTCCATGGTAAAAATACATAGGTTTTTTTCTAACTACCCTATTACTAAGTGTTAAGTGTATCCCGAAGGTAGGACGGGAGCTAATTGAGTCTCAGGGCGAACCCCTTACGCCTACAAGGAAGAAAAATCATTCAAGGAGACATACATCGCGGCAGAGAGGGATTGGGCAGCCATGACCAGCAATTGGGGCCATGACTACCTCCCTAAGTGTACTTATAGTTAACCTATAATTAAGAAGAGACTGGGATAAACCGGCAAAGACAACGTATAAACCCAACCGACAGGAAAGAATAAATTCTACGGGAGAAAGAAGGTTGGGCATCGTTCTTTATTATTAGTAGAGATGAAAAGACTAGTAGAGAAATGGAAATTGTTTTTTTCCGGGAATGGCACTGGCTTAACCAGAGTGATGCTTGCACATCACTTTGGTGAGGTAAGTGGTGCAATTTAGCCTCTTCCCTCCGATATTCAGTAGACCTAAAACACTAAAGACAAAAGGGCGTGAGCTGCCAGTAAGTGTCAGCAAGGCCAACACTTACTGGTTTTTACTAGAGCAGAAGATGATACGAGCCTGTGGATAGAATGGAAAAAATTAACTTATTCTAAATTACTAACCTAATATAAATGACTTTATATTAGCGTATATCCTCGGGGACATATGTGTCTAAACCTAATGTTGTGCTACCTCGCAGCGACCAATCTCTGTAGCCATTGGCTGTAACGAAGCATATCTACGGCCACGTGCTATAAGTGCATGGAGCTCAGTTTGAAAAGGGAGGGGGAAATACATAGGCGTTGAAGGGGGAGGGGGTGTTGCCAGCTGGAGAGGCAAGACAGGGGTGGTGGAGGGGTTGAGGAGATCGCAGTGCGGGCACTGGGGCATGCCCGGCTACCCCCCTGGGCTCCCTCACCCTCCCTAAGACAACCCTCGTGATGTACACCGCTCTTAGCAGATTGAAGGCCGGGATGTTGGGTCTTCCGCGGCCACCACGCAGGCCAGTCTTGCCACATGCAGAACATGAAGTTCTCGCACCAGGCACAGTAAAAAATATGACATTCTCCATGAAATATTGATACCATTTTTTTTTCCAATGCCTCATCATATGTTAAAAAAATATATAATATTTACTCTCACGATTCAAACATTATACCGCGAATAGACTGAATATCCGAAGGTTTTCGCATGGTTCGAGCTTACAGTTTTGCAAAATCATTCGTGTTAAGGTCACGTGATCGAGCCATTCGTATATGAGTGCAACTTGTCCCAGATCGACTGGACATGGAACCATAAGGTTATGTTTATTACATGCATTTCAGCTACATACATGTTTTGGACAGTGATATTTAATCGATTTCACATATTATTTGAATGCTAATATAATTCTTTTCACATGTTTATTATATTTTATGTTAACATTTCATTTCCTTATTTTTCGATATATGCGAACCACCAGTCCTCTACTCTATGGTAATTTTCACACGCAGTTCTGAGTTCTACATACGGTTAAGCCACTATTTTTATTATTGTATTAATAAGTTTGATTTTATTTTCAGTAATTGTTTCATAATTTCTAAAGCTAAATTATTTATTGGTTTTGGGATTTAAAGACATAATATTTCAGGCCTTAATTTTATTTAGTGAAGGTAAAGCCGGAAGCGAGCCGTGATTGGATGTTGGTTGGTCGGAAGCCGGAAGAAGGGGCTTCTGGGAAAGACATTAAACACGTAAGGCGTCTAAATTTTCGTTGGAATTTTACTTTTGAAATTCCAACGCCATCAAAAATTTATTTTAGAAATTATGCTCCAGAAGTTAAGTTTTTGGCAGTCGCCGCAGCAATATTTAAGAAGAGACTGTAGGCTAATTCGTAGATAATTATTTTGAGTGTTAAATTGACGAGGCGAAAAGGACGCCGAGACTACGACGCCGGCGCCATGCAACGAGATAGCGCCAGAGGACCTCAGGTGACGCCAAGACAATTTAACGCATGAAAATCTTAAGTACAGGAACAGTTTTTCAAGTATTGAACTTTAAGGAACCTGAACTTATTTTATTAAAGTTACTATTTTGATTTTTCAACGATTTGTCAGCGAGTTCCATGAGTATGTTAAATCGGTAGTCCCGAACTTTCGCATATGAGATAGTATAGCCAGAGCAATATGGAATGAGGACTTTCAATGAACTTTCAATATAAATTCAGAGTAAATTTATTTGGTGAAGTATTAGATTTGAGATAAGTAAGTGATGAATTGACTTTTGACATTTAATTAATTATCAGTGAATGTGATCCAAGAAATTAAAGAATTTAAATGAGAGCTTACCAGAATTTCTGGAAATTTAGATACAGATCTCAAGTAAAAGATTTATTATTTTTTTTTATACAGCAGCTCTAAAGTTTCACGGCATTTTCCAATATTTTATTTAATTTTTTTATTTTGCACTCTGCTTTATCCCTATTCTTACGTGGATGGAGGTGTGACATTTATGTTAATTATCATACAGTATAATTTCATTTTCATTTTGAGTAAAGAGATTTGTCACACACACATTTAGTTTTTCACCTTGTTGAATTATTCTCATGTTTGGGTCTGAGTTTATTTATTTCCTTTTTTTTTCATTAATAAATAAATTATCAATGTTACACATGTTTGATTTAAATGAATTACTGTGAAGGTTGGAATGTGTTTTCTATTGCATGAGCTTCTGATCCCAGTGTGGTAAGACCAAGGTCACATCACAAATAATAAGGCGCCCAAAATCTATTAAAGCATTATAATTAATCTTTTCCCCAACTCACACCAAATAGATTTACACCCACACTATTACAGACATTGTTTCGAAGTGGCGCACAACGAGAACCATTACAAAAACAGTGGCTATCCCAACGTGTTGGCTATTACAAGCTCAAGCTTATACCCCCCCCCCCCCCGGGTGAGTAAAAGAGTGAAGAGATTTGGGCGGCTCTTAACAGCGAGCTCTTGAGAACCAATGCGTGTGATTGAGGCGAGTATGGAGCAGCACTGGAATGAAAGGGTGGGAGAAACGGGGAAATCCCCGAGAAAACCTGCCAACCAGCCGCATTGTCCGGCACGATTCCCACGTGCGAAAATCCGTAAGTGACCCGGCCCGGGATTGAACCCGGTTCGCCTTGGCGGGAGGCGAGCAGAGACCCCTGGTCCATGCTGAACTTCCTTCTCCTCGAGTCTTTCTTAAGTGTTAATAAAGTTGAGAAATCTCAAGGTGTGAGATCTGGGCTGCTCGGAGGATGGTGTAGAGATTTCCCACGAGTTTCCTCCAAAACCTTCCATAGTCTGTCGTGTCACACCTGGCTTAGCGTTATAGTGAATTTAAAAAAAAATAGAATAAAGCAGTTCATGCCTTTTTTTTTTTTTGCGAATTGCATTTCTCAAATTAACTTCAGTCTGTTTAATTTTTGTTTCTCCTCGCCTGCCATTGAAATACCCATTGCAGTTCAACTCTTATATCGAACAAATAAACAAAACTGCCCGTTGTATACTAACTCACATGTGGAGATGTGTGTGGAGAAATTTGGATGGCTCTGAACATGGAAGTCTTGAGAGCCGATTGAATACTCACATAAAGAGATCACGCCAGATGTTATCTTCACGCACTGAGAAAAAAGTTTTTCCCCTCCACAAAATATACATGTTTGTATAGGGCCAAAATTGTTTTCAGTTGCACCCAATAAAATATTCTTTTAAGTAAGAAAAACTTGAAAACCAACAAAATTAATTTTTTTCATCTAACAAAATACATGCCTGAATAAACCCAACCTCTGTTTTGGGGCCAAAATTAATTAGATTTGCAACAAAATATTTTGTTGAATCAACTGTACATATTAGTTTTGTCACTCATTTGATTGCCCTCGTTCGAAAATACAGTTCGAGAATTCGTTCATATTTTTATAGCAATTAGGATAGTAGCAGTGTTCATTAGTGCATTTACTGATGCTTAGTAATGGCATTGGCTAAACATCCTAATAAAACAAGTTCAACGGGAAACTAAAAATCGAAGCTGTAAAACTTGAAGGATTTATTTGCGCACGTTTTCCAGTATATTGGTAACTTCATGTATAGGCTGCTCACGGTAAAATGAGCACCTTCGAAAGCCCTGCGTAAGATCTACTTGTATGAACGTTGTATATTCTTACGCCCAATGCAAAGTTAACATTCCCATGACCTCATCACTTTATTCATGCGTCGGTCAAGTGAAACTGTGAGATTCTTAGGAAATTAAATATTTTATCAATTTACTCAATTATACACTTCGATGCATTAATAATACAGAGCGTAAGAAATAATGTAAGTTATCACACTTTTAATCCGCGTTAAGATATGGAACGACTTTCCATCCATCGTTACCAACTTTGCTGGGCGAATGTCACTCGGTGCGCCCGTTAAAATATATGAAGGCAGGGGCAGTGACTTTTTTCTAAGGTTCATTTTAAAAGTGCTCATTTCATAATGAACAACCCTTACTTAGAAACATTTTAACTTCGTCAGTAGCCACGTTAGCTGATGCTGCTTGGGCGCGGACAGTCTGGGTTCGAACTTCGGTCACGCTTGCTTCCAACTTTTTATACTACCCGAAACTCTGCTTAATGTACGTAAAGTGAAACAAATTCTAGTTTCACCATCTAAATCTTAGTTTAGGCCAACAGAATGAAAACAAAAACAAATAATTGGGTTTCAACAGAAACATATTTTACTGACAGTATTCAAACAATTAACTTAGTTGCAACAAACACACTCTGATTCAGCAAAACTTTTTTCTCAGTGCAAGTGACAGTCAGAAATACTTTTGGCGCAGTGGTGCCTA